AAGGGCAAGCTAAGCTGCAGTGACCTGGAGGCAAACTTGACTTCCTTACACAACTGAAATCTCTACCCAGAAAGAGCTGAAGCCTCATTTCCAGAGCATGAGCAGCATGGAGCAGCATGTTGTCAGACTGTGCTTGCGTAGGATCCTGCGCCCTGCCCCGTGCGTGTGATGACCTCACACCTCCTGAGAGTGCATGCCCTGCCCAGACGAACTTGAGCTTGCCCTAGCTTTAGGGTAGTAGTCACAGCTTTGGAAGCAATTCCCCGTGGCCTCCTTATTGGATGCAAATAAATTAATAAACTTCACGCTGTGTGACACCTGTTCTTGGTGTTCTATTCTGATTCAATTCCCACCACCAGACAGACTGCATTGAGTCCAGCGACAGAAGCACACAAAACAGTGCTTCTGTGTCGGGCTTATTTCACTCAGTATCATGTTTTCAAGTTTCATCCATGTTGTACCGTGTGTCAGGAGTCCACTGCTTGGAGAAGAATAAGATTCCATTTCATGCATATGCCATATTTCATGCTGATGGACACTCTGATTGCTTTCATCTTTTAGCTACTGTGAATGATTCTCTAATGAACGTAGGTATTTGATCAAGTACCAGCTTTCTTTTCTTCCTCTTCTTTTTTGTATTGCTGAATCATAAAATTCTGTGTGTGTGTGTGTGCGTGTGTGTGTGTGTCCGTGCTGCACACGATGGGCAAGAGCTACATCTCCAACCTCTGTGCTTAACCCTCTGAGGAAGCTCCAGTGTGTCCCACAACAGCTGTAACATTGGGCATTCCCACCTGTAATGCACAGGGATTCCAGTTTCTCCACATCTCAACACTCAACATCTTAATGGTGTGAACTGGTATCTCATCGTGGTTTTTATTTACAGTTCACTAATGGCTAGCACCTTTGAATATGCTCACGAGCTATTTATACATCTTCTTTGGAAAATATCTATTCCGATCTTTTGCACACTTTTGAATTTTTTAAAATTATTGTTGTTGGGTCGTAGGAGTTGTTTATATCTGGATATTCATCTCTTATCTGGCTCATGATTTGCAAGTCTTTTCTCCCATTTCAAAAGTTACTTTTCCACTGTGTTGATTTTGTTCTTTGATGTAAGATAGTTTTTAATATTTATGAAGTCCAAATCACCTAATTTTCCTTCGTTGCTTCTGCTTTTAAAGTCACATCCAAGAAATCATTGCCAAGTCAAATAAAGCTCTTGTGCTGCTTTCTTCTAAGAGCTTCATGATTTTAGCTGGTATGTTTAGATTTTTATATATTTTGAGTTAATTTTTGTATGTGGTGCTAAGTAAGAATCTACCTTTTTTATTTTGCATATGAACATCCAGTTTTCCCATCATCGTTTATTAAAAATATTGTTCTTTCCCCCATTAAATGGCTTGACACCCTTATAAAAAATCAATTAATATGTTTCTTAGTCCATTTTTGCTGCTCTAAAAGAATGTCTGAGACTGGAGAATTGCTAAAGATCAAGGCATTGACAGTTTTGGTTATTGGGTGAGCCAGCTCTCTGTTTCTAAGATGGCACCCAATGCATTCTGTCTCCTTTATTCCAATGGGACAATTTCTTCTGAATGTGTCAAGTCCTCTGATGTTTCCTCTGTCGTTTCCATTATGTCCATCCAGTGCAATTTTATTTTTTATTATTTTTTTCACTTCTAAATTTGCACTTAGTTTTATCTTCCATTTCTTTGCTGTGGTTTTAGTTTTCATTGTTCCAGAAGTGTTTGTAATTGCTTGTTGGAGCATTGTTTGAAAAATCTTTGTCAGCTGGGCATTGTTGTGCACACCCATAATCCCAGCTGCTGAGGCTGAGACTCACCAAGTTCAAGGCCAGCCTGGGCAACTTGGTGAGACCGTGTTACAAAAGAAAAAATAAAAAGGGTTGGGAATGTAACCCTGTGGTAACCATCCTGGGTCCAATCCCCAGTACCAAATGATGATGATGATGGTGATGTTGATAATCCTTGTAGATAGTTGCAACATTTGTATCATCTCAGCATTGGGTCTGAAGATTATATTTTCTTATGCAAGTTAGTGGTTTCATTTTTTCCTAGTGTGAATAATAACTTTGCACTACATCCTGGAGGCTTTCGGTGTGCCAGATGAGGGTACAATTTTGGTTCTGTTTTTTCTGTTTTTGTTTTATCTTGTTGAGAAGCATCTTTTTTTTGGACCAGGCATTGAACCATGGGGTTCTTAGCCACTTAGACACATCCCCAGCCCTTTTTACTTTGTATTTTTTATTTGATGGCATCTCACTCATTGATTCTTGGTTTTATTTCTTGAACTTTAGGGGTTTTGTTGAGGAAGTTGGTGCCTGCACCAATATGTTGAAGTATTGACCCTATGTTTTCTTCTAGCAGTTGCAAAGTTTCTCGTCTAATTTCTAAGTCTTTGATCCAGTTTAATTCAATTTTTGTGGAGGATGAGAGATAGGGATTTAGTTTCATTCTTCTTCATATGGATTTCCAGTTTTCCTAGCACCACTTGTTTAAAAGACTATATTTTCTTCAGTGTATATTTTTGGAAGCTTTGCTAAGCACCAGATGATTGTAACTATGTAGGTTTGTCTCTGTGCCTTCTATTCTATTACATTGGTCTTTTATGTCCATTTTGATGCCAATACCATGGTGTTTCTGTTACTATAGCTTGGTAATATAATTTGAGTTTGGGTATTGTGATATCTCCAGCATCACTCTTCTGGCTCAGCATCGTTTTAGCTATTCTGGGTCTTTTATTCTCCCACATGAATTCAAGGACTCCCTCAGCCCCCAGTTCTATGAAGAATGTCATTGGAATTTTGTTAGGGATTGTGTTGAACCTGTATAACACCTTTGGTAATATGGCCATTTAAAAAAATTTTTTTTAAAGAGAGA